GTTTTATAAGTGAATACTTTCTAATATTTATTTTATTTTACCTATTGACAATTTATCCTCACGGTTCCTACAATATAGTATGTGTACATATGTTTATGTGTAATTTGTCTGTAAGTGTTCTCAATAAAATATATTTCACGAGAAATAAGTGCGCATAGATGTTACTCTAATTTCATATTCTATTTATCCTTTGATTAAAGATAAATGTAATCTCGTGAATAAATAACGGAAATAAAAGATTAATCTGGGATTCGATACTTGTAAGAAACTAAGAACTCATCACCGTTAACAACTTTTGTAGCAGCAAACCGTTTGCTCTTTTTCGTGTACAGTCTAAGTGACCTCAAACAAATTTGTCAGTTGCACGCTCCGCGAAACACAGGGACGCTGTTTTCAGGTCAGTTGCCATTATTTCGCGAGACCGAGATTTTGGCCCGCGATGTATCTCTCTTTTTCCGGCCTCGCACGCAAGATGATAATTGTCAGTGAATTAAGCACAAAGAAAACAAGTTTTCATGCAAACGCATTCCCCGCGAGACTTTTCTCCCGCGCGAGAAGTTTCTCCTTTCTCCCGTCGTACATTCCTGTTCAAAGAATAAATCGCATATCCTACGACGCTCTTTCTCCCGACTTCTCACGATTTGCTCGATTACTATTCTCGCGAAAATTTTGCGGCGCTTCTTTGCCGATGTTTGCTGTTATACTTGAGTTAGTTTCTCTCCGCTTTTCAAAAGCAGACGAACAAAGTTACTTCTTTCGACACGTTTAAATGGAATGGAAAGTACTGACAGTTTTTCGTTTGAAAAATCATGTGAACTGTAAAAATAAGTAAGAAAAAAAACAAATATCTATTGTTCTACTAAAACATCTTGATTTATTTAAAAATAATTAATTTTTTTATATTATTATATTCCATAAAATATTTATTTCTCATTATTTTAACAAATAAACACATGATATTTTTATATGTATTTTATTTTGATTCTAATTGTTATTGTAATAATATTGAAACAGAAAAAACTTTCTATCTCAAAGTTGCTGATTCTTACGAAAGATAAAACGGATATATATGACATGATAATAATCTTACATATGGAAGCCGAATGGTATGACAAGAACAGTTTCGTTAGAAGTTTCAAAAGAAAAGTGCTTTTTCGGTCTAGGAGGATTGGGCGAAACTCGAGTGTAAAGCGCGGAAAATCGTTGTGAAAATAATAGGAGAAGGATTGCGGTAATCTCGATTTTGTATAAAATCTTCCGAAAGATAAGAACGGCCGTGCTCTCGGATTCATGCATCCGAGCTCACGCATCCGAGTAGCATTTACGACTTGAAGCGTACGAAGGTTAACCTCAGAAGAGAGGGATCCGGTTTACGATTCTTTCCGGTTCGCCGCTCGCGCGGGAATAGACTGAGAGAGAGAGACGGAAACGAGAAGAATAAGTACTTCACCTGCATCCTCCTTCTCTGGATTAGAAATGAAGAGTTCGCGAGGAGCCAATAAATGTAAGACGTTTGAGTAAAGTTTTCGAGCGAGAAGAGGAGTAGACGAAGGTGTTGTCACAGAAATCGAACGGGCGTGAACGATGACGTAAACGCTTTCTTTCTCCACACCGAAGAATGCACAATCGTAATGCCGGTTATGAAACGGAGATAACGTATCCTATATTTGATCGGCGTTCGAATTCTTTAAAACTTCGGAATTTAGGCGGCTTGGATTGAACGGAATTTAGATCTGTGCGGAACTTCCTTCCGGAAGCTGAAGAGGCAGAATCGAGAGATAATCGGAATCTAAAGTACGTCCAAATATTAAACTTTCTATGAGAGAATGGGATCGTGTCTTACCTAGTTTTGCAAATTTCCCAAGTTTGTGCGTTACACGAGAAATATCGATATGTGTGGTCTTCTCTTCAGCTTATTAAAAAAAAAGCTGTATTAAACGCTAGTCACAAGACTGACATACATAGTTTAACTGAATATTTGATGCGATACTTTGACTATTAATAGTACAAATAGTACTTACAAAAGCGATAAATGATAAATAAATGTGTTTTAAAACTTTATAAATTGTCCATAGTTAACTGTCGTCGAAAGTTGATCCAATATAAGAATTCGTGGCAAAAAAACCGATTCATCTACTATTTATCGTACTATTTACTTTTTGTAAGTACTATTATTATTTAAAAAATATTTTGTGTTTGAACAATTTTGACACAGCCAAAGTATGAAATTAAGTCAATCTGAACAGAAAAGTCATGTAGGGGAGACCGGGGCACATTGTGACATGCAAATTATATTATTAAAAATAACAAACTGTACACCATATTATGTAATATTGTGTAAGTACATTACATAATCGTCACATCCTTCAGCTTTAAGAAAAAAAATATTATTTTCATATATCTTTATACAAACAAAGTTATTTAATGTTAAACACGATCGTGTAAATTTGTCAACGTGCCCCGTATCCAGGATTAGTTGTCACATAAGCCAAAATTCTGATTTTCTTGAATGTAAGATCAAAGTTAATATCTAAAGCACATAATATATAATTAACTTTTTTTTAACGTTCTTCTTCTTGTAAATCACTGATAAAATTCCTTTTTGGTTTAGCATAACCACACTTGTACAAATCGTATTTTCACATATGTCCTTTTCTGAAATTTTCTTACAATACCGAACTAATGTATGATATTCAGTTCACTTCAAATAATAATGCAGCTTGTCGCATTGACAAAGTTTTTGTTAAAGTTATATAGCGCGACGCATCCTACGAACGGCGATTACTTCCTCACGCATACTCACCGTGTGACAACTTACCCCAAACGTTTTCATTTTAAATAAAAGATATTATATTTATAAACTGCAATGCGATGAAATAAATATAGGAAAACTTATTTAAAACTACCATTTTTTTTATACCTAAGATAAAATTGCAATTAGAAATTCTAAAATCAATGAAATTACTAAACAATCGAGATAAAAAAATCTTCTTGCCATGTCTAGTTTTATAAAAGTGCTTGTAAATATCATATATCATGTTTTTAAGAAAAGCTATTTCGTACACGTTACTAAAACAACTAAGTAACTATGTAAGTAGCAACTTACAATACAAAGAAGAATATTTTCCACGATTTAGTAAGATAATAGCAGTTTGACAACTAACCCCGTGTCACAACTAGCCTCGGTTTCCCCTACTATTTTGCAAAATTTGCAATATTTATTGAGTTATCAATTACTTAATGTAAGCCAATGAGCACGTGGTAAGCGACGGTCTGAACTTTTTAGGTATTTATATCATTGCGTGAAAATCAGCTTATAATAAAAACCTAAGTCATACATTTACTCCGCTTTTTGTTGGTAGAACATTGTATATAAGAAGTAGTTTTCTTTGCAATTTCATTGCTTTCCATGCGCTCATTGGCTTACATTAACATGTTAATTGCCCAGCATAGATTGAGTATGTTTTTCGGGAGACCCACAAATCCGCGATTCACGGATTATCCATCCGCTATTATATAAACTGACAACGGTTTGTTTGTTTTTCATTTGTTTGTCTTTTTCCCCAATTGGAACTGTTTCTAAACAAATGGTCAACAATCTGAAACCTCTGAATTCTTCCGTTACTTTTGTTTGTTTTTTTATTTGGAAACCAGTCATTTTTGTAACAAACATCGAACTTTGTAGAGTATAGTTTTCTTCAGAATGTATTATTATATATTTTTTACGTATAAATTACTTATAAGCACTTGTGTACAGTTTTGTGTACGTTGTTACTATTAAATAACTGTGTTACTATTAATAACTTGCCAATTATTGTAAAATTCTGCTAATTAAGTGAATGAAATCGTCACCCAAATATGAATGACGTAGCGATCAACGTGTAATTAAGAATTCAATAAATATAGTAAATTTTACAAAATGGCAAAGTACTTTTTTGTTCATTGATCCAATCTATCTTCGGTTGTGTCAATATATTTTTCAGACACCTTATATGTATACACTCTACACACACGCGCTCGCGCGCGCAAACATTTCTGAAGACGGTTTCCGAATTTGAACCGCGTTAATGTCACTTTTATATCAGCAAGCTTTTATATAGAAGAAAAACACTTCTTACCGGAGAGAGCATAAGTATATATTTGAAAAGTTTGTATTATAATGTTAAATTATTTGTTAGAAAGAAAATATAAAGCGAATCTCAAAAAATCTAACAATAATCATTTTAAACCAATATATAAGGCCTTACGAGCCGTTTCCAAGATGTTGAGCGGAAACTGTACGTGTATATATATATGTACACATGCATACACATGTAACAAATTCAACTTGTAAATTTTTACAAGTGAGTATTTTTTGAATCGAAATCTCAATTCCTAAATTCATACGAGATGCTGTGGATTTGCATCTCACAGACCCCGGATACCCCCTTAACTATTTTTAAAATATTGCGAAAAAAACTCCTCGGCCTCCTGGCCAAGATATGAATTTAGGAATTGAGATTTCAATTCAAAAAATACTCACTTGTAAAAATTTACAAGTTGAATTTGTTACATGTGTATGCATGCGTACATATATATATACACGTACAGTTTCCGCTCAACATCTTGGAAACGGCTCGTAAGACCTTATATATTGGTTTAACTTTCAACGAGCTTTAAAAATTGTTTGAATAATCATTTTTCTAAGAAAAGTTTTTTGTTTGTAATCAATCAATCGCTCGTGAAATAATCAAATAATGCAAAGGCCGATACGAGCAGCAAAATACAGGTTGGTCGTGTATAAAAAGCAAATTTGCCAACCTGTATTTTACTGCTCGTATCGGCCTTTGCATTATTTGGTTTTTTGTTTGTTATAATTGTTTTTCTTTAGTCAGTTGAAACGATGAATTAATGCATGTCTAATCGGCAGGAATTGTCTACACACTTAAGAATCGCGCGTGCTATTTGATCGATGTAACGCATCTACTTGCGCGGAATGAAAGAACTTTGTTCATACATACCTCTAGCGATTGCAGCGTTAGCTCCGGTATGATGCACGTGTGATTTGTCGGTCCGTTCCCTGTGATCGGGAGAAAGGAGGAGTTGCATCTGTTGCTGCCGTGAGTTCCATTGTTGTACGCGGCTTTTCCGACGGAGATGGTTGTGCCGGGCGGGCATTTCAGCGTCATCATTTCCTCTTCACACGCTGCGCGCTGATAAGTCTTCAGAGTGCCTGACAACAAGGCTATTCGGTAAAAAAAATACACAAAAAAAGACAAAAGAAAACAAGATTGCGTGATAAACGTCAGATCAAACAAACCAATTACGTCGAATTAAAACATAATAACATAATTGTTTCATATCGTTTGTGATTTTTAACAAGTAAACAATATCAAAATTAGAGTATTGCGTATGTTTTTGTTAGTAGTTAAAGTATAGCAAAATTAAATAATACACATAATGTTGAATGTTGAAATAAGCAAACAATGTATGATAATGAAGTTTGAATAATTAATTTTACACGAGAGAGAGAGAGAGAGAGAGAGAGAGAGAGAGAGAGAGAAAGAGAGAGATGAAAATTAATATCAAAAACAGATAGTGAGATGTAAATAACGAAAGGATGTTAACGGTAGTAATGCATAGAAAATAAAGGCGTACGGTGCATAATTGATGGACAGAAGAAAAGGCGTGACGAAGGGAAGTGGAAGTGGTTTGGATATCGAAGATCGATCGATGAGCCGTAATGGCGTCACCACCGCAGCAACGATCAATTTAAGGGGATTGTGTGAGAGTAATTAACGAGTGGATCAGCCGGGATTGGTTCGGCGAAGCGGATACAGGATGTATCAATAGCACAAATTCAGCCGCGAAAGCAGCGTGTCGTTTCGTTTACAGTCGATACGCGGTTTAACATAGCGGGGCGAGAAGCAGTCGACATTTGCGGAATTTAACGCGCGGAGATCGTTCGTGACGATGGAGTTTGCGGACAGAACCGCAGACGTTCCAGCATGTAAATGCAGATCCGCGTGATAATTTCGCGAGTGGCGGCCAATAAAGGGAGCAATATGGCCGCAGAAGTTTTCGAGGAAACAGCGAAGTGATTGTAACAGCAGCGCGCGACGAGAATTCGCGTATGAGATAATGCGCGATAAAACGTGAATATCCAGTTTGCAGCGTAATTTTCAGTACACGTGCGTTAATGAAAAGTCAAACATTGTTAGCAATTCAAGCGTTATTATAAAATTAGTTAAGGAAATGACAGGGAGAGGAAACAAAATGTCAAATAGAATAGCATCATCCACAAAATACAATATTTGCAAGCAACCGCAAAATAAATAAAGCAAATACGTGACACCGTCACCAGAGTGTGTTAATATGTCACCGCAGCCCAGCCGTCACCGCCGTAGCGTTGGAAGCGATGTCGTCACCATCACCAGAGTTATCAGGGATGAACGTGGCCAATCGATGTCCCGATGAACATGAAAAATAAAACAGACGAAGAAAGCTTGTTAGTTACATCGTGAGCAGTCACGTTCAAGATGTGGAATATGCAAATTCTTCAATATTTCCTAATGCCGGCAGGAGAAATTTTGCACGGAGGAGCAAAGTCGATAATTCACGCGGCGACGAAGGAACATCTGTCTGACCCGATATTGGTAGTTTCACTTGCGTCGAGGCGCCTGCGGTAACACGTTGGTAATGCGGCAGGATATGCTTTCCAATTTCGTTGAGTAAATTTGTAGAACCGAACAGGATCGAAACTATTTTGACTATTCGTACATACCCGCAATTGCGTCCCGGACTGTTGCGTTCTGAATTGAATCGATGCCAAAAATATAGAGAACGCTTGATTTTTCAGTCTTATTTAAATCTACAATATGCTATATCTTATATTGTATCTTCATATTAACTCTTCGTGAACAGACATGAGTCTCCGAGACCCACTCAAAAAGTTCAAACCGATGTCTCTAGTAAAAATTAGTTTCTTTTAACGCTTATATCTTCGAAACGAGAGATTTTTTCAATTTTTTAAATCAGAATTGTTTAAACTTTTAATTCAAAAAAAAAAAAAAAAAGAAAAAGAAAATATTAAAAAATATTGATTTTTCGCGGAGATATTCGATTTTAACGTCGCGTGTCTGTCCAACTAGTCGTCATTTTTTAAATCTGTCCACGAAAGGTTAAATATATTCGCCGTATTTTCAAATACGGCGCAGCCCCCTCCCCCCCCCCTACCTACACGCTTACAACGTGAAGAAAATGTCCATAATGTCGAAAAAAAAATTTATTTATGAAACTTTTTTGTTTGTAATTTTTTTATAAACAATGAGCGACGGCTAAAACCTTTTGCATGTCACTCAGGACAATGTCCTTGACAACATATGTGAAGCTCAAGTAGATCGGAGGTTGACCTGTTATTATCAATATTAATAACTTTTTAATAAACAACAAACTAAAATTTTTTGCATTTTTTTTACTCAGGACAATGTCCTTGATAACATATGTGAAGCTCAAGTTGATCGAAAGGTGGTCCGTTATTGTCAATATTTACCTCAATGTGTATAATAATCGTGCCTCGACGAATATATTATGCAATTCGCTGCATTTTCCATCAAAGACGTCCGCGATAATTGCAAAGACACGAGAATGTCGAGAAGCGGCGTGTCTCTCTCTCGACATGGTTAGTAGACATCGTCTTGGTAACGACCGCGTCCCGGCGTCTGGATTATATGCATAAAGCCGTGCGCAAAGAGTAATGCATACAAACGATTGTTGTACCGGCAATAACAAACCCAGAGTCCGCTATTACATTCCGTGGTCTTCGTAGCCCGCACGTTCGTAAATCAACGGCTGCGCGAACCATGCAAACTGCAAAGCCTCCGAACTGCACTAGGTAGCAGTTATTCGAAATCTTTGGGGGACCCGGCGCTATAACTCGACTACGTGATTGGAATGACCGAGTAATTCGATATTGCCCTCTTGATCTCCCCAAGAGTAAAGAATGCAGAAAGTTTCGTATCGCAATCTGATTAGATTTAATTGCCTAACTTGGTCAGTAATCCGTCGTTCCTCATTCTTACATACTCTGAATATCATTACTATTAAATACCATTTTGTTTTCGTTTCTGAATTAAAATAGCTCGGCCGTTCGCGCGATTTAAATGTAATCGCACAAGAAAAAAATAAAACTCTTGGAAAATTACAATTTTTTAAAACTTTGACGGAACTTTTAGAGACTCTATATTCATTGAGGTATAACATTTGTGTCACTTTTTTTGGTACATCTATGTATTGAGTTGTTTGGAAAAGTCGTGGCGTTTGCCAATAGGTGGCATTACCGTAACATGTTTGAAACATGTGCACGAGACATTGCGCAGATACTAAAAACATCGAACAGCACCGTATATCTCAGACAGCACACAACGTCCGTCGGATATTCAAATTTGGGCTATATTCAGTTCAAACGTTCATAAACATTATATGAATGTTTTAAAAATGTATATTATTAGACAGATAAAGTATATTTACATTTGGATTTTTAATGTTTATTTTACGCACGTATAGCCATAAAAGTTTTCTTTGGAAAATAAAAAATAAAATGTTTTTGGCATCGTACTTTGCATTAAAATTGCGCAACACTAATTAGGTGCTTGCAAAAGTAGTTCTTAAAGTCACAAATAGATGTTGTAGCAGCGACTTAGTAGTTGTTTCTTTTTAAATTACTTTTTAGTTTTTAAATATTGCCCATAGTACGGACTTCGATCAAAATCGATGATTGACAGTTTATTAGTTTCGAACAAAGCATCATGTTTAACGCAATTGAAGCAACAGATAAGAGATAAAATTTATCTCCTTGCATGTTTTACTACTTTACTCAAAATAAAACTTTTGTAACAACTAAAAACTGATTTGTGAAAGCTATGAAGAGAATGTGTTTACTGCTGTCTGTGAGATGTGGTTTAAAAATGGCGATTACGACGTCAACGATAAGCCACGTTCTGGTTGTCCAAACGAGATAGAGAACAACGAATTGGAGGCAGTACTCAACAAAAACTCGGTTTAAACATTGAAAACGCTTGCGGGCTAGCTTGGAGTTGATGAGTCAACATTATCCCGCTATTTGAGAGCAATTAATCAATAAAACAATGATTTTAATATTACACTGAAAAAACAGTTTTGTTGAGATAACAAAAATTTAAATCAAACCAAATAAAGTGTTTTGGAACCAAATTTTGGTAATCTCAACAAAACTGTTTTTTTTCAGTGTATATCAAGCTATTTGTAGCAACGACCAAGAACTCTAACCAGCTAAGACCGAGAACCACATTCGATTTCAAGTACATACCTCTAAGAAAAATAATCAAACGTTTTCTTCTAGTTTATGGTCGCCATATTGGACTATTTGATGAGCATCGGCTATTATATTCCCTCAAACCTATATAATTTTTGCGAACAAATATTTTTTAACAATTAAAAATGTATAAAACTTTTTCACTGAGTATTTTACTTGTCAGGCGATTGAATGTAATTTGATTGGATTCAAAGGTAAGAACCCTAATCACATTCAATTGTTCAGCAAGTAGATCAATTTTGTCTAGTTGAATTCGTTCAATGTTCACAACCTTTAACCAGATGTGAGTTAATCCACTGTGTAATCCACTTAAAATGAATAGGTTTGATATGTTCAGAAAAGTAACACTAGACATTTTTAAAACGTCTCAACCATGTAAGAATTAAAAATTTTTAGAATCTGAATATTTGAAACACGTACAAAACATCCAATAAGTTATGTTTTTCATACGCTTTTGAAATATTATTGTGCCATTCGGAGTAAACATTTACAGGAGCTAAATTATGTAAATAAGGTACAATAAGTCTTTAATTTTCACTTAACGTATTTTCCAAACAGTTCAATATAAATATATCAGAAAAATCTAGTGTATATTTCTATATTTGGTGTATATTTATATATTTATATGTGTGTACATTGTATTTATATGTATGTATTTATATATTTGTGGTACATGTACAGTAATTGCAATAAAATTACAACAAGCAATTTTATCGTATTATCAACTGAAGATGTCATTTGAAACATTGTTCATTTATAACTATTCGTTATCCTACAACTCCCTTACTTAATCAACATCTATTCAATGTTGCACATTTATGTATAAAGTAAACAAATGAAGAAATATACAAAAAAAATCCTACATAAAAAAATTTCTATATGTAAGATTACAT